TGGAGCCCGGAACTGGACAGAGTACTCCAGATGGGGCCTCACTAGGGCAGAGTAGAGGGGAAGGAGAACCTCCCTCGACCTGCTGGCCACACTCCTCCCAATGCACCCCAGGATCCCATTGGCTTTCTTGGCAGCCAGGGCACACTGCTGGCTCGTGGTTAACTTCTTGTCCACCAGTACACCGAGGTCCCTCTCCGCAGAGCTGCTCTCCAGCAGGTCAGCTCTGAGTCTGTACTGATACATGGGGTTGTTCCTCCCCAGGTGCAGGACCCTGCACTTGCCCTTGTTGAACTACATCAGGTTCCTCTCTGCCCAACTCTCTATTTGATTACTGTGTTTAATATTGTTTAATGTGCATGAACATCACTATACAGACAGGTTTTAATTAGGGGGCCTCTTTTCTGCAAAGCTTAAAAGCAGATGGTGTTTGTTTATATTTTGTTTTCAGCAGAAATATAAAAATGAAGATTTAGTGTTTACATGTAGATTGTTACCCCTGGAAATTGTAAGTCAGCAAAGTTGAATAAAATTACACTGTTTTGTAAGAACTAAACTGCATTTATCGTTCTATTTAAAGTTCAACGTGCTCCTACACTTCAGAGCTGGTTGTGGACCAATAATAAAGTTTTTTTTTCCTGGAACTGAAATGCTGCCTATTACAACAGCAGTAATACCAATAGCATAATCAGTATTTCTTGAATCTGATTTATATCTGTTGTCTGCTGAGTTCACGTCATACGGAGTTCATATATAAATCTGTGCCAGCACAAGGATGAATTGGCAGTTTCTGTCAATGCAGATGAGAAGTTGTGATTTTTGAAATTAATTTGCATGGTTTAAGTATATAAACTACAACAGAATATGGAATTTGATCATTGTTCATATGTCTTTAAAGCCTTTATACGCAAGTTGCTAGAACTCCTCCCAAATGTAATCCAAATCCACATTATCACTGTTTTCCCACCCTACAGGAAGGCTTCTGTACATCGTCACGTGAGGGTTGTCACCCAGAATTTTGTGTCCCTTTCCATAACTGACCATACAGTCATAAATGTGAAACACACACATACCTGTCTGTACATACACATAAGTCTGAATAGATGAGGTCAGTCTTGACCTCTTCACTGTTAATGTAGCTATAAATCCCACACAGCTGTAATTCTTGGTCTAGCATTTTTCCAGTATTGTAGCAATCGCTTGTTATTGCCGAATATCACATCTACTGGATTAGATGGTCACATTTTTTTATATTTAACAACTGCTTTGTTGAGAATTTGTATATGTGGAACTTTTCCCAATTGAGCTGAAAGACAGGAGAAACAGTATCAACTATACTTAATTGTATTAATACTGCATGGTTTATAAGATCATAGAGTCTTTCTTCGAGCATTTCTCCAAGTTGGGAGTTTATCTACTTTTGCAACCACAAACCTCTTACAGAAACTGCTGATCATGGGGCTAGGATTACTGTAGTATTAGGTCTGTGTGTGAAATAACTACAAATTAGTGATACTTCAAATCCCAGTCATCCCTTTTCTGTATTTCTTTGCACCATATCTTTGTGCTTTTGCCTTCCGGTACATCTGATGATAGGAGAAAAGTGGGATAGAAAACCATCAAACCAAAAATTGTTCTTGCTTTTACCTTTTAAATTACAATATTATTTTTGATATGTGAGCTCTTATTTGTGCCCTCATTGCCAGGTACCTGATTTGTTCATGCATTCTTGGTACTTTCAGACACTTGCTGTGTCAAGCACAGTTGTTTGGGGGTAACACTGCTGTTGAACTTACAGCTGAGGGACGATTGCTCCACTAAAGACTGGAGTAGAATCACTTTTGTCTCTGCTTGAATGATGTACATAATTTTGTTGTTGTTAATTTCTGTGATGAAATATGTAGGCTTTAAAGTTTCCAGTCCCTGTTTCTTCCCTATTCTGTTTATAGGCGATCCGAAGTTTCCAGGTATCCTTACACATCTTTCCAATGAACCCTGAAGTATGGAAAGAGGACCTTTCCTGGGCAAGAAAACTCCATGAACAGCAGAAGGCAACAAGGACTGAGGCAGTGCAAGCACTGGCAAAAGAAAAAGAGCTTGCTCAAGAATCAATCCCAGACTATGACTTTGAAAGTGATGAAATTGTAGCAGTCTGTGCTGCCATTGCAGAGAAGGAGAAAGCTGTTTCAGCAGCTAAAACGGTGGTGATTGTGTCTGCTTCAGGCACGGTAGAGACTGTTACTGAGAAGGAGAATTGTCCTGCAACTCCTGATGAAACCCTTTTCATCAGAGCCCGATAGGGCAATGTTCTGGGTTGCCCGTACTGTTCTAAGAATACTGTTATTTATTTTATTGGGCTTGCTTTGTTTTTAAGCAATGGGAGAGCCTACAAAAGTTAAAGAATTGAAGTTACTTTTAAAAAATTGAAAAAAATTAAATTGAAAAAGCAGTGGGTTGCTGTTCCATCCGTATTTTTGGAGCCGAAAGCCAAGAGTTGATTCTAAAAATCTTATAAACAAATACAGTGTTCAAATGCTTAACTCATTCTAACAACTACTTTCATCTTTATGTATTTCATAATTTTACAAGTTAATGTCTAAATTTTCCCAGTAATTAATAAGCTTTTATTTAAACTGTAAAAGAAAAAGGAATTTTTAAAAAATCTGTTTCAGTCTTTATTCATTAACGTTATTTATCTTCCACTTAGTGTGAACTGTTCTCTGTTATCAGAAGTCTTTATTTTCATTCAGGTTACTTTTTCTGTGGGGAAGTTTCCTATGAAGCAGAGATGGATTATTATTTTGCTTTGTGTGTGTGTGATAGCTCTGGCATCTCATTTGCAGTCAAAGGAAATCAGTAGAAGCCTTTCATAGGTGAAATTCTGTACCAAACAAGCCCCTGAATGCTTAGTTATTACCAAGTGTTTCACCAGAAGAAAGAACATTCAGCTGAGACTGAAACTAGCCTTTTCTTATCTTGAGTGCTGTGCTACAGACATCACCAGAAGTAAAATGTCAGGAGTTGGAAATAGGTAGGTCTGAAGTGTATTACATTTAGCCTTGTTTTTCCTAGTGAGGCTAATCTGATAAAGGGAGTCAATTTGTTTTTCCTAATTCGTATGACCTGCCATTTAAAGTATGTTCTCAGTAAACCAGTTTTTCAGGACAGCATTGCCTGAGTCTGCCTTTTTATCCTTTTTTTTGATGCTGTGGTGGGTATTCACATTGTGTTAACTTAAAGGCATAACATAGGATATTTGTTTAATGTTCATCTTTCTTTGGGGGAGGGTTGCCATTGGTTCCTCACACAGGCAGTTCAGAGAAAAAAAGTCAGACTGTTTCTTTGATGTGCTCTGTAGTGACACTGATTTCTCGTTGTCTTGGAGACATGGTAGAGATGGACTGGAAAATATGGTCAACTGAGGAATTCCTGGAGAATTCAGGATTGGGAACATGTCATTTCTACTTGATTTTGATAACATGTTTTACATGATAAAAACATTTGAATAATAGCTTTGTAGACAAGTGGAACCTTTTGAAATCAGTTGTCTGTGGATTTTTCATATCTGGTTTCTATTTTCAAAATAACACATTTTTAAAGGAAATAATGTTGCTTGAGAAGCATACTGACTTTTGCAATAGAAAGTGTACTGTAGAGAAAGATCATACTTTCAGTTGAATATCTTTTTTTAAGAGAACACTTACAGTCTTTGCAGAGACTAATTATCCCTTTCAAAAACTTGATTGCCATGTACTTACTAAGTTTTCATTAATTTTTTCAAGATTCTTCCTGAATATATTTTTGTACATAGGTGAATTTTTAGATCTGGGCTTGCAAGTGCGCACACAAAAAGTTTACACTTTTCGGTATCTGCTGAGTATTCAAAATAATTGCAGTGATGAAAATATATTAAGAAATGTAAAACATCACCATGCTACATTTTTATTTGCTCATTCAGTTCAGACATAGATCTTAATGCTGACTGAATAGGCATTTGATTAAGATGTGGTTTGATAGACGGTTTTAATTGTCCCTGTTGAAGAATTTCTTAATCTTCGTTTTCCTAACAACTTAAATAATACAATCTGTTCAGCCATAGGAAGAGTTAGTATGAGAAGGATTTGGACAGATTTCCTCAAAGAAGAGGCATTCTCTGACTAGAAAAGGAAATGTGCAAGCAGCTGTAAGGTATATTTTTGTTTCAAAGGAGCTCGGCTATAATCCAGCACATCTTTTCTTTCTTTGTGCTTTATACCTGAGTCAGTGTTACGTATTTACTCATACAGGAAGGACTGCCTCCTGCCTTTCAGAGGTCCATGTTATCGCAGAATCTGTTTCCACTGATATGATTCACAAAATTCCTATTGACTTCAGTACTGTGGGGCCAAACTAATGGAGGGAGGGGTGTGCATCTACACCATCAGGTGGAACGGCCGTGCTGGGTTTGAGGGGTGGTTGTTTCCATCCCCTGTACTAAATGTGTTTTCCTTCTGGCTAGATTAGGTTATGAATTCTAGGTATCGTCAGGACTATAGTGTCTCATAGAGCACTGTAGAGCAGTAAGCTCGTGACACTGTTAAACTGGGAGGAAACTCAGAAATTGATGATTCCAACATTGGCTTTTTGTACGGCATACCATGTTTTGCATGTATGGGATTTTTTGGGTCTGTTTGAATAAAATACGGACTTCTTTGCTGCTTAATGATGCCTGTTTGTTCTTCTGGTTATAACAAGAATAACGGTTACCATTGACCATTTTAGAATGCTACTCATTTAATTAGTTGGCTTCTTCTGACTCTGCTGAACATTTTAATGTGTTATAGTGGGGAAAAAAAAAGACATCATCTCAGAAAAATGTTTAGTAAAAAGGTAGTGCTCAGTGATTTTAAACCTCTAAGGGGTATCCAGATGAGAGAGACCCAAAAAAGAAAGCCTTTGTTATCAAAAATAGGATATCTGTGAAGCACACTCCCACTTTGCCAGCAGCAGTTTATTTTTATTGTTCTTCATCATCACTAGTGGCAGTGGCTGCAGTAGCTTCCATGTGTTTGCCTCTCATATGAATCACATATTAAAATGCTGAAGGCTTGTAGTGTTGTTAAAGAGGAAGTCTGAACACCAACAGTAGGTTAGGTGGATTAATTTTGCTTAATTAAAAATCTACAATTAGACATTTAAATATAATTTTTTTCCTTTGAATCTCTTTATATCCAGTGGAAAGAGATACACAGCCTCAGAGGGCCATTCGTATGTCTTGTGTTAGATAAGTATCTTAGAATGAGTTGAATCAGCCTCCTAAAGTACTTAATTATTTCCATTGACTACAAAGGAAGATGAAGGTGACGGACTGGCAGTTAATTTCAAATGCTGAAACAGGGCAGATAAATTCCACCCTTATAGATGGAGATACGTATCTTTAAAAAACTAAACATACATGGTAAGGTTTAAGTGGTTCGGCTTGCACTTAAAGCAGAGTTTATGGTTGGACTTGATGATCCTAAAGGTCTTTTCCATGATTCTATTTCTATGATTCTATACTGAGAGAGAATAAATCCTTTCTGACAATACTAAAGGGTAAAAAGAGTATGGATCGGATAACACAGCAGTGACTCGATTTTGGTAATACCAAAAGAGATTGGATTTTAAAAGTAGCTATGGAGGGTAAAAAAGCAAATGTAACAAGTTTCATCTACTTTTCTAGTTCCTGAAAGTTGTCTTTGAATCTCTGTTGGTGTTGCAGATCAAGATGAGAGAGGTAGCACTGGAAACTTACCTAGCCATACAAGGCAAGTGCCCTTCAGATCCTAAAACCGAGGGGAAGGAGGTAAAAACTAATGTTAGGGTCAGGTGCTCTCTCGGTTTGTCTTGAGGTCATATAATAGGTATAAAACTATAATAAGCGTAGTTAGGACTGGGACACAGGAAAGTAGTCGCTTGTGGGCTTGGTTTACTGACAGTTTGCAGGCACCGTGTGTTTGTTGTAGGTCAGTGTCATGTTGAGTGCAAAGGTCTGGTGGTATCTGATAGCTCTAATAGTAAATCTGCCTTAAGCAGAATAGATTTGCAGTTGTGTCTAGGAGCCGAACTAAAAACTTTGTGGAAATGTTCTTGGTTAGGATGATGGCTGGTGCCATTTGAAGACAGTGGATTACACTGATTTTGTTGGTGCTTTGGCATTGTGCCTGTAGCACCGATTTCAGTTAGGCAGCACTAGGGTGGCAGACAGCAGAGATGTATCAGCTGGATTTAAAACAGGGTCCTACAGCCCACCCCTCGTAGCGCAGGGCCTCTGTCAGTATATCCTACACCCTAAACCTGGGCCCAGTCGTAATGCTAGCTCGTATTACTGATCAGAGATTCAAAGTAATTTACAAATTTGCATAGAAACCGCTGGCTGCTGCAGATACTGGCTGTCATCCTGCCTGTGGTGGGTAGGTTCTCTAAGCCGCGCCACAGGACAGGGGCTTAAACTGAGTTAGGGCTGGAGTTTGGGGCGTGGTAATGGAGTGGGAGGTCTAGCAGTACCTCTGAAAGGAAGGAGTTGTGGGAAGCGGTGGTCTGGGACGTGTGGGCAGGACAGACTGCTGGAAGTGAGGGAGCGGGACTGCCAATCACAGGACCAGCAGGACGGAGCCAGGAAGGCACAATTTTGGCATGAGAAATTTTTGAGTGGCAAATTAGTGCATTTTCTATGAACAGAGAGTACTGGGGAAGGTGGATGCAGATGTGGAAGACAGGCTGTTTTGGGGTATGTGGGTCTCTGGGGGCCGGGAGTGGAACGGGGTTATTACGTGTGAGAAGGGAAACTCTTTTGAACGTATGGAAACCACTGATAAACCTAACAGGAAAATAACCTTTTAAATTCCACGTGCTAAGTCAATCTCTACAAACTTGTAGCTTTATTTTACGAGACTTCTTATGCCCAGGGAGGGACTGAGGAAGATAATTCAGTAATGTGTTTGTGGTCAGCATGGAGGAGGGTGCCAAAGCTGTGCAGGACTGTTGGGCAGGTGGGGGAGACATAATAGTCGGTCATCCTAAAAAAAGGCACGCGTGCCCAGTCCTTTTAGCCAGGCTGCTTCTGAACGCCCATCTGTGTTTGCACCTAGGCGGTAGAGGTGCTCCCGTTTTGTCTCTGTGCAGCGCCATTGAGTTGTGGCAGGCAATTCCACTATTGCTCAGGAGACTTTGTAATCTGTGGGCTGGTTGGGAATCCTTGAGCTCATTACTGAGGGAGTTAGTGTTGATGATGTCCACTGCTGACACACCAGCAGTGCCGTGGGCAGGAGGAACACCTTAGGCTTATCGTACGTGTTTGCTAAGGGAAGCTAGGTCAGCTACTTAAGATGGTGCATTCTTGCTTAAAGCTCTTCCAGACCACATGTATTTCTCGTCAGTAATGATGAGCAATAATAAG